CAACTTAAACTCGTCTGTTTGCTTCTCTCCTGCTCTCTGTGCTCACACATCCTGCATTTTAATACAACCAAATTCACAATTAGGCTTTTCTCATTTACATATTTGTCTGTTTCTATTGTCAGATAACAGAATGCGTATGAAATAATAGCTGAAACACAACCCATTAATACTAGATGTGAACCAGCAGTCACTTCAGAGCCACGTCCAGGCCGCTGCTCTGCATCGCTAAGATACCGACTTTATAACGGCAATGATGTCTCTTAAACTCACCAGTCATCGACCATCCATCTATACACCGCTCAGTCCTCACTAGGGGGGCTGGAGTCTATCCCAGCTGACTCAGGGCGAAGACACCTGGACAGGTAACCAGTCTATCACAGGGCTACACTTAGAGACAGACAACCAAGCACACTCACATTCACACCTACGGACTATTTACAATCACCAATTAACCTCAACATGTTTCTGGACTGTGGGAGGAAGCCGGAGAACCCGGAGAGAACCCACGCTGCACGGGGAGAACATGGAGACTCCCTCACATGAGCTAAAAACAACGGCTGTGCTGTGAATTCTGTGGTATTTCCATGTAAACTTGTTGCTCGGAGAGAAAGTTAAAAGCAACAGAAAGTCCAAGTCACACACACTCATTCACATCTACATCAGCTGCTGTCTGATCAGCTGTTTGCTCAGCGCTGTTCTTCCTGTAGGGGGCTTGAACAGCTGCATTTAAATCAGGCCCGAAACCAGGGTTCATACAGGCACGGTGAAAGAACCATCTTTGTGGTGCTTTGAGATGAAAAATTTAAAAACAGATACTGTGGACATGTGAGACTTCGGTTCCCTTCGTAATGAATTCATCTAATTGCAGCAGTGAAATGTAGTGTCAGAGGACCAAAGAAAAACACCAGAGATGCACAAGTCCCTCCAATTAATTAGCACTAGTGGGTCATGCAAATGTCATCAGTGTTGTGGGACACACCCCTCCTACTCCCACACACACCCAGACAAGGACAAAAAAGAGCTGAACAGCAGCTGACCATCAAATTATTAAAAATCCTGTTTGGCTTCAGTTGGATTTCAGTATCTTGTCGTAGTCCCACGTGCACGCCAAGGTGAATAACAAGCAACACCAAGGAAATAAACCATAGAGACAACCCCAGTAATTCAAGTGAATGTAATTAATGCTGTAGAACTGCGCCTCAGAGGATGTGGAGCTGCAACCTGAGGTCTGCTTCCGCTTACTGATCAGCCGGTTGTAGCCTGGAGGTGAGATGTGAGCTTGTTACTGGTCTGTCACCAGTTTAAATTATTGGTCCAGCAAGGACAAAGCTCTCCATTTTCTCCCTCGAGCTGAATCCTTGAATTAAAAGGAACAAGGACAGTCAAACCGCTCATTAACACAGGGTGCATTATGGCCCACAAGCTTTTGAGTGAAACAAATGATGTAAAAATAAATAATAACCTGTAGTCTCTCTGTGGCAGCTTGTGTCAGTGTGTTCTTGGGTAAGATACCACATAGCTGCTCAGTCTACCGAGGAGAAGTATGGGCTGACATACAGGTTTGACTCTATAGGTGAAATGTGCAGCAGGGTGATGTATAACCAGGCTGCGCGAGTGGAGATGTCTTAATTCTGAAGGACAGCTCTTTGTGCGCAATCCTCATCTTCACTGGAGGGAAGTTTGACGCACCGTAAAACACTGTGTTCACCCATTGTTCTGTGAAACGTTGCAGCAAGGAAAGTCTCTGAAGTGCTGAGCAGCCTCCTCTCTCTCTCTCTCTCTCTCTCTCTCTCTCTCTCTCTCTCTCTCTCTCTCTCTTTCTCTCTCCAAACCAGAGCGCACAGCGTCCACACCATGCGCAGTAGGCAGTGTAGCGCAGCGCATCCAGCGTGTCACACTGATGAAGTGCCTCTTCTGACCCGGACGATCCGAAACCTCTGCAGAAGCCGCGCACGGGACGCAATGTCTCCAAACACCTGGATGGGTTTCTTGGAAGCGATTTGCTCCTCTTGGTTCTTTTACGCTCCGTCTTAGCGCGTCTTTTGTTGGGTACGCGATGTCCTGGATGTATTTTCTCCGGAGACTGTAAAGTGGAGGGAAGCGCAGCTCGCAGAGACCATGTGGAGAGCGGACACGTCCCTTGGTGGCAGCACTGGAGGCAAAAAGCGACTCTAGTAGGAGAGCATTATTTGCGCTTTCTTGGAGAAAAAGATCCTTCCATGAGGAAACAAAGAGAGAAGAGATGGTAGAGAAGTAAGTGCGGATGATGATGATTAGAAATCTTCTCCATGACTTGTGCTAACCTGTTGTTAAGTTTCCATGGAGTGGAGATGATTAAAAAAATAAAAAAATACATAAAAATAGCGTGAATACTGATTATAATAACAGGTTGGGGGATTTCTAGTGGTATTTGGAACCTTTTCATATCTCTTGCGCGCAATTGTTCATATTTAAACTTACCTTGTCAGACTTTGATGACAGCTTTTATAATAAAAGCACGACAATTTCTATGAATGCAACTGATTTCTATTCAGTAAAACCATTTAAAACAGGCAGAAATAACGAAATATAATGCCCCAGTTATGTAATTGCGCAAAATATCATCGTTCCAAAGACCAATAAAAAAAATAATATTTCTAATTTGCTCTGGATTATTTCAGCTTACTATTGAGTGAGCTATCCTCTCCACAAGTTGTTTACTGTACAGTGCTGGCTGGTAGGTACTCTTGGGGTGGTTATGTAATTACATCCACTGTAGCAAGCTGTCTGGGAAATGGGCTTGTGACAAAGAGTGTTTAATGTTTAATGAGCTTCCATTCATTTGCTGTGTGCATTGGTGCTGTGGGGACAAAAACAATCACGAAGGGAGAGGTGTAGTAGTAGATATATGCTCCACTGATGCTCTCAGGTCTTATGCTATAAGGAATCATGTTTATATACAGTCCAGGCAGACCGATAATGGTGATGTTGTAAAATAACTCCAGGCGACTGGTGGTGGAATGACACCGTTCTGCTCGTTTTTTGTTGAAGAAACATGAAAAAAAAAGAACAATTAGATAAACTTGCTGTATAATAAAGACAGAGAAACACCACGTTATGTTATTTTCTTCATACTAAGTTAATGTTTTTAGGAGTTGTTTAGTTTTTCTTTTGAATTTCAAATCCAGTTCTATATAAACTCTTGTACCAGAACACTGGCATATCTGTGGCCCAATAGCAGCACCTTAAAGGTCCCATATTGTGGCTTTTTTCAGCGAAATGATGAAAGTCTCATATGCTCCCAGACTTTGTCATTCCATTTTCAGCTCAAAACACCTCAGAGGTGGTTCATTTCACCATGACTGTCTAACTGCTGACTTTGTCCTGTTCTAAACGGGTCTGCAGCTTTAAAGTGAGCTGCAGCTCCCTTCAGGAAGAAGACGCTCGGAGTCTGGGATTGACAGAAAGCACTCAAGGCAGCTGACACAGAAAAATGAGTGCGTGAGAGCAGGAGTTCTCTCTGCTTCTAATTTTTTTCCCTGACTAATCATTTTATAAAAAATATCAGCAAAATGACAGCACATGAGGCTGTGATGTCATTAGTTCAGCAGCATCAGCCTGGAAACGGCCGTGACACGATGAACTGGTTCACAGTTAGACTCATTTCAGTCGATGTTTTCATCAAGGTCAGAAGTAAACATCTTTATAATTCAACAGCTTTTTAAACTTAAGAGTAAGTTTTAAAACCACAATTTTTAAAAACAGTATTTTCACCACATGGAGCCTTTAAGAATGCAGCAACAGACATTACAGGATGTATCACTCATGTCTTTGGATGAAGGTAATCCAGTCATGCAATTCACAATTATATATATTTACTATGTATTGGACACATTTATAAAGCAGTGCTGGCCAGCTTAGCTCAAACAGTTATCATTGTATGTTCTCTTTTATAAACTAGGGAAATTATTGTTTTGCATGTCAGGTCAATCCTTCTCCTTCCTCTGCAAACATGCCGACACATCCAGCGTCCATTACGTCCAAACGGGACATTTAGCTTGTTTAGCTGGTCCCAAACTTTCCATCCCCGTGAGGAAATAAACTTGCTAATGTAGCAGCATATGATAAATCACAGGGGCTGAGTTGAAAACAGGTTGGGAATTCAAGCTTAAGTAGTCACGGTGTGAAATCAAAGAAATGAAAAGTGAAATACAATTCACTTCACATTTACTGCAATTTCCCTGAATGTGTGACGAGGTTTGGAAACACGACTACTTGGTAACACCTGTTGGCAGCTGTAACAAATAAAATGAAATGAAATAAAACATTGTATTAATTTCTATTTTGCAGATGGAAGCTTCAATAAAGACTGGTTCTGATTGCATCGCTCCCAGAACACTTGATATGAATTTAATATGAATAACTTAACGGCAGGACGCTGAATAATGAAAACGAATAGCCATTAATAATAAAGTTTAAAGGAAAGTTGCTCTCTTACGGTGACCATTATCTCTCAAATTGTTTGAATCAGTTATGAGAGCAGAAACACGAAGTGAATGAGTCACGCCACAGAAAAATAATGGGCAGCTGTTGTGGGAATTACGTCAAACATTCTCGAATTTGTCTTTTCTAATTTTACGCTGATTATTTCACTTTTGGGCCGTTGGTTCGGCAAACAACATAATGTAAAATTCATTCATCTTTAACTGAATTGATCCTGCATGGTGCATAATGTGGCCTGTTCATGTCTTTGATAGAGGAAACAGTATCACAGACAGAGTGAAGGACTGACAGACTGATTGATTGGTGTTGTTGATTTATTTACTGAGAATACAATACTAGTCAGAGGAAACGTTAAAATGAATCGATCCCCATTAATCACTTTTGTCCTTGCAGTGGCCGCACCTGACCTTCTTGACCCAAAGTCTGCCGCCCACAACTCCAAGCCTCGCCTGTCGTTCTCGGCCAAGCCAGTCGTTCTGAACACGCCGGAGGATGAGTGCGACACCCGGACCACAGTCATGAGGTGGAAAACTGTGTCGGCCATCTTCTTCCTGGTGGTGCTGTACCTCATCATCGGGGCGACGGTGTTCAAAGCTCTGGAGCAGCCTCATGAAAGCTCCCAGAAACTGGCCATTCTTACTGAAAAACTGGAGTTCTTGGCCATGCACGCCTGCGTGAACTCCTCTGAGCTGGAGGATCTGGTCAAGGTAGGCGGAAGCTTCTGCATCCTAATAATGATGCAAATCTTCTCCCTTGTGCAGGACATGATGACTAGATGTACCGTCTGTCTATAGATTTTTATAAAGCCTTTACACAGAGGAGAGGCTGAGGTGGGTAATGCTATTTGACAGCTATACTGTTGACTTAGCACCTTGAGGACTGATGAGCAAACACTGCTGGGGCTTTCACCCGACTAGTTCGCTCATTGGGTGGTCTACGCTTTTTAATTCAAAAAGTTCCATATTTTCCTCATAGTGCTTGAACAGCTCACATCATCCTCCTGTTTAAATTTCAACTTGAAAGTTGGCTCTTGGTTGTTGAAGGTTACTGAAGTTCTTAAAGTTTTGTCACCGAGCAGCAACAGTCATGACTTGAGGCTGAGACCAATGCAGCTTAAAGTGCAGTACCACCGATGGCCACTAGATGCTGGCTTCAGCTGACTCCCCGCAATGAAACTTCGCCATATAAATACTATGTCATTAATTTGGTCGTCGCTCATTAAAATTTCGCCCCATTTTGAAAACTATTGTTACATTAATACAACTTTAAGACTCTGATGTGGCGCTGCCATGACAGCTTTGATTGAGGCCTTGGTTTTTGAACTTATTCAAAAGAGCAGACGTCCACCAAGACCAAGATTCACCAAGAAGGTCAATCAAAGATCTTGACCTGGATCCTCACAATGATGGAATACATTCTTCTCATGCTCCACCACTACCTCAAGTTTCATGAAATTCGATTTGGTAATTTTGGCTTATTTATGACACAAACAAACTACAGTGGAAACAAATCTGAGTATTGAAGAAAACTATCGTCGCATTAATTCAATCTTAAGACTCTGATGTGACGTTTCCATGACAGCTTTTGTTGACTCCTTGGTTTCTGAACTTATTTAGTCTCGGACTGAACTTTTTCTCCAGGATTCTACTGGATGTGTTGTGAAGGAGTTTTACATACGAAGACCCTCACAGGAGGCCATCACGTGATGTTTAGTTTGTATTTGACTATGACACTTGTCTTGTTAGCAGAACGTAGCTAACATTGGCGGAAGCTAAAGATGATGCCAACCACAAACTGGAACTCTGGAGTTCAAAACCACTATGTGGAGTCGCTGTGTTGTCCACATGTAGCAGGGTATCTCACAAAACGAAGATATTTTTCTACGATGTGGCCTGTCATCCACGCGGAGCGCAGATTTACGGCATTAAAAACGATTCTTTCAGAAACGATTTGCGAATCCTCCGTCTATGCGTCTGTATGTGGACGTCAATAACTGGGTTGTAGGTTTCCGAACGTCACTACCTGCGACAAAATACGTTCTTAGGTCACATATGCGACCTGCGTGGACGCCCTCAGACCTGTGTTGTCTCTGGTCCAGGCCCAGATACCGCTTCATGTACAAGAACACAGGCACAGGACGGCATTAAGAACGGTTATTTCATGACATCTAGAGATGGAAACTTACTCTGATTGGATAAGATTTGGGGAACTACTGCCACCTAATGGTTTGGCAGCTTATGAATGTGCTTAACAACACACCTGTGCGGTTAGGTGTGAACGAATTATTTTTCTAGAAACGAGGGAGGATGTTTGGTTTTATAAAAACCCTGCTACGTGTGGACGAGGCCTGAATACGCAGAACTTGGATATGCAGCTGTGAAACAAAACTGTAACAAGAAGCGAACTCGGGAAGAGCAGACTTCCACCAAGGCCGAGGCCCAATTTCCCACTTTTCAAAGAAGATCAATCAAAGAAATTGATCTGGATCCTCACAAAGATGTTCTACATTCTTCTCATGCTCCGCTGCTGCATCAAGTTTCATGAAATTCGATTTGGTAATTTTGGCATATTCTTGCGAACACGAACAAGGACACAAACAAACTGCAACGGAAACAAGACTGAGGATTGAAGAAAAAAATGTTGACAAGATGAATAAACATCAGGACAGGGCTCCCAAAGAACTGGAATCTGAAACGGAATTTAAATAAAAGATCATCAAACTACATGAGTTAAGCCAATTATTCATTTATTTATTCATTTTCAATTGCAAAAGTGTCCTTCACCTTCAGTGTGAGTGTTGAGGGAGCAGCCTTCTAATAAATGACTGACATGGAGTCGGCGGGTGTCGTTCCTTATGGATTAGTCGACTCCACCAGGGTTGATGAAAAGCATGTCCTCCTGGGGAATCTAACTGGCCGGTTGCACTGGACAATGATTACTTCTGCAATTTGGCAGAGCTGAAAGGTCTTTAAATCTTAAGGGAAAACCTGATTTGTCTACCAGTTCTAATTTTAGCCCCTATAGCTGCAGTTTTCTGCGAGTCCAAAAGTAGATCCAACAAAAAAAAGCTGCTTGCAAGAGTCAAAATCAGCAAAGTCGCTGCTATATAGAAGCTATGTGAGCAATCAACCAAACAGGAAATCAAATAAATGCATATTTATCAACCAATATATATGTATTTAGTTAATATTCATGAAATGTATATAGTGAGAATGATCTGTGTGGGTTTTCAGACTGTATGATCTCCAACGCTCAGGGTCCTTATATGTATGATACTCATGTGCAGCTAATGTGAATTAAGCTGAGACTGTATTATTTTCTTCGTTTCTTACAAAGTCAACTGTAAATCTTGGATGTCGATTCTTTTGGAAAACAATTCAAAACGTTCAGCTGTATGTGCAGCGGTGCAGAACTGCTCACTTTTCAGCATTAACTTGGTAGCTAAAGTTAAGATTTTTTAAAAAACGCTCAATTGTTTCTCATCATGACGACAAAACCGCAAACTTGTGGATGCAGTTGATGCTCACTTGTGTAGCAGTGTGAGCAGGGGCGGATCTACCGGGGTGGCATGAGAAGATGCCTTGCCACCCCTAGAAGATGCCTTGCCACCCCGGCTGCCACCCCAGTTCTGAACGATGTAATTCAAAAATATGTGGCCGGTTGGAAAGAGCGAAAGTCCGCATATGACGAATAACGAGCGGAAGTCCGATGTCCGAGTGCTTGTGAATGCACCATGAGGACGTTCTACTACAGACACATACGATCAGGCTGCTCATAGTCCGCCTCCCTTATGTGGACCAGAGTCGGACTTCGGCGCGGCCAGCAAGAAAGTAAGACAGAAGTTAGACTGGGTTAGACCACACGGTAGTAAAACTGTAAGCTATGTAGTAGACGCTAACAGTGTCTAAGTTCACATACAGTGTTTGCTTGTGAGACGAGCCGCGGGTCTTTCTTATTGTCACGTATGTAGCTAGCTAGCATTACAGAAGGATGAGGGTAGGATGGGGGTTACAGGACATTAAAGTGTAACTAAACCTCCAGTCACACCAGGTTTTCATGCAAACTACCTTGTGTTTGCTTAATGCTGGGTTTGGTTTATGTTTAAAAAAAAAAAAAAAATAGTGTCAACGTCACAGTAACACCAGCATTGATGTGTTTCATCATAGTACAGTCATATAGTTTGGTTTATGGCAAAAAAAAACAAAAAACATGTTTAAGTGTTAAGCACCTCTTTAGGTTTTAAATTGTACACTTAAGCTTGTATCATAGTAATGAAGACTGTCAAAGGAAACACAGTAAAGTCAGTGTGAATCTTCTAGGAGACAACAAAGAATGAAGAGGAAGGGTTTCATCACCAGCTTTCTCCAGCTTAAAAAAAAAAGAGAGCAGGGAGAGCATCATGAAGAGGAGGAAGAGCAGGGAGAGCATCATGAAGAGGAGGAAGAGCAGGGAGAGCGTCATGAAGAGGAGGAAGAACAGGGAGAGCATCA